AAGGTTAAAACCTTCCTTTTTTTAAAAAAAAAAAAAAGGGGGAAGTGCTGTGGGATGTTCTGTATGTCAAATGTGTTGCTGATTAGTCAATAATTAAAACACTGATTGGCCATTGGCTAGGCAGGAAGTGTAGGCGGGACAAGGAGGAGAATAAAGCTGGGAAGTGGAAGGCTGAGTCAGAGAGACACTGCCAGCTGCCACGATGAGAAACAGCATGTGAAGATGCCGGTAAGCCACGAGCCATGTGGCAAGGTATAGATTTATGGAAATGGATTAATTTAAGCTGTAAGAACAGTTAGCAAGAAGCCTGCCACGGCCATACAGTTTAAAACCAATATAAGTCTCTGTGTTTACTTGGTCGGGTTTGAGAGGCTGTGGGACTGGCGGGTGAGAGAGTTTGTCCTGACTGTGGGCCAGGCAGGAAAACTCTACCTACATATGTGTGTGCCTTTCACGTATCTACATGCACCACATGTGTGCAGTGCCCACAGAGGCCCAAAGAGAGCACTGAATCCCCGGAACTGGAGTTACAAGTAGTTGTGAGCCACTTTGCTGGTGTTGGGAACCAAACCCCGGTCCTCTGGCAGAGCAGCAAGCATTCTTAACTACTGAGCCATCTCTCCAGTCCCCAAGGCAGATATTTAGAGCAGACTTTTTCTAATGCATAGGCACTGGAAAGTGATTACTAAATAAATCATGCGGTGCTAAAACAACACACACAAGAAAATCATAAAACAAACACGTTCCTGTCAGACTAGGTGGTGCACATCTGTAACGCCAGTGCTGGGGAAGTTGAGGTCGGACTGACAGTTCGAGGCCAGCCGAGGTTACATAGTGAGACTGTCTCAGAAGAGGGAAAAATGTCCCCTCCAATCTCATCACTTTCCAGTTTCGAGGCTAGTTCTTCATGAAGAGAATGAAATCAACTCACTGAAGATTTAACACAAAATCTCTTCTGACTCTAAGTGAATATTTCATGTTTTTTTCATTTCTAAGTAATTACTTCAAATTTTCAATTTCTTTGACCATAAAATATATTCTTTTTTTTTTTTTTTTTTTTTTTTTTTTTTTTTGGAGCTGAGGACCGAACCCAGGGCCTTGTGCTTGCTAGGCAAGCACTCTACCACTGAGCTAAATCCCCAAGCCCCATAAAATATATTCTTAAGCATAGGTTTGCTTTTCTGTTCATCGAGTCAAGATCAAGCTAACATATTTGAAGAGCCAGATCTGGTGATGAGGGCAGGTTATCGGGGAAATTATTAAGGCAACTCCACATAGTTAAAAAGGAGGTTTATTTGGGGGTAACTTACAGCCAGTAAGTTGTTGGTTACAGGATCCGGGAGAGGTGAGGTGCAGTCCAGTGGGGTTCTCTGGAGAACTTCGCTCGGTCTACCATCCAGCACCCAGGATCACCAGGAACCAAGAGACCAGGCACACCCAGATCTCAGATCTCAAGGGCTTCCGTCTTGGCCCCGCCCCAGGGGCGCATCATAGGTAGGCACAGCAGTTACCAGAAGTCTCACGAGGGGCAGTACTTCCAGGTCAAAGCTGGAATAGCTCCCCACTACAGCAGGTACTTGGGAGAAAGGGCAGGAGGATTTCAAGTGCAAAGCCTGCTTTGGCTGGGGAGGAAACTCAAGGCCAGCCCAATCAACTTAAAAAGAAAACAAATGCAAAAGCAGGGCCAGGTATACAGCTTGGGAATAGAGTACTTAAACAACAGACCCTGGAAAATTCCCATTACCACAAATACAACAACAATAATAACAATGCATTTTGATATTTCAAAATACCCTTGCCCTTGTTCAAAAAAAATTTAAACATGGCCTCTAAAACTATATTTATTATTATCTGACTAAGATCATGAATACTGAAGTATTTAATAAAATTTTCATAGGACCTATCTCTGGGAACTTTGACTAAGAAAGATGTCCTTTTAAATAGATGGGGCTAGAGAGATGGCTTAACAGTTAAGATCACTCACTACTCTTGCAAAGGACCAGAGTTTTGTGCCTAGAGCCCACACCCAGTGGCTTGCAACTACTTGTAACTCTAGCTCCAGGGGACCCAACGCCCTCTTCCAGCCTCTACAGGCACTTGCATGTACACATACACACCCTGACATACACATAAATAAAAAATGAATGGGGGCGGGGGAGAAATGAAAAATGCCCTCAAGATAATTCACTCAGGTGATAGAAAGATGACTCTATAGTTATCAGCTGGCTGCTCTTCCAGAGGACCTGGGTTCAATTCCCAGCACCCACATGATGACTTACAACTATCTGTAACTCTACTTCCAGGGGATCTGACCCCTCTTCTGGTGTCTTTAGGCAACAGGCATGCACATGGCTAATATACATACATGCAGGCAAAACCCTCATACATATAAAATGAAAACAAACCCTCAAAGGCACTTTGGAATGGGGCTGGGGGCTGGAAAGATATATTAGTGGGTAAAGGTACTTGCAGCTAAGCCTGATGACCCAGCTTCAATCCCTGGAGTCTACATGGTGGAAGAAGAGAACCAACTCCCAAAAGTTGTGCTTTGATTTCCATACATGTGCTGTGACATGCATGTACTCATGTGCATGTACACACACACACACACACACACACATGCACGCATGTTAAAACAATTTTGAGAGAAAGAGAGGAAAAAGAATAAGAGAAAGAGACACCACTTCCAAGCCAGGCTTAGCATGCATCATTCATCACTCAGGGGGCTGAAGCAGGAATTTTGTCCAGTTGAGGCCAGCCTGGCTACCTAGTAAGTTCCAGGTCTGCTTGACTACGATGTGACACATTGTCTCAAAAAAAAAAAAATAGAATCAAGTAGATTACAAAAAGCACTATTTTCAAATCTGTGAATAATCTATAGAACTTCAGGTAAGAGGCAATATATGTTAGAAATTCTGGAATGGTCTCTCCATCTCTTCTACACAAAAAAAAAATTCCCAGAAAATTATAAACTTACCATTTCCTACTTTTCATAATTATATGACATTTTCTCACTGCTTAGCTCTGAAATTCAATCCTTCAGATTCCTAGTTTGTCCCACATGGCTGAATGGAATGTTTAGCATTTTTTTATATTATGCCTCATTAGGCAAGAAATCAACCAAAATAGACATTTATGATAGACTCAAAGTTTTCTCATTTTAAGGAAATACACACACTAAACATTTTAATAAACCAAACTTCTAAGCACAGCCATCCAGCATAACCACGGGGGATTGGTTCCAGGAACCCTGTGGAGTCCAGAGGCCACAGATTCTCAAGCTCTGGACATAAAATGCTGTAATGTTTGAACAGAATCTGCACACCTCCTCCTGCCTACTTTAAATCATCCTCAGGTTCCTTCTAAGACCCGAGGCAATGTAAGTCGTCCGTTATACCGTATTCTTTAGAGAATGATGATGAAGAGGTGTCCACACATGCTTAGTGCAGGCATATCCATAGCGGGTCATAACTACATAGGACCCAAGCCACAGCTGATTGAATCTGCAGAGATGGAAACCCTGGAGTTTAAACAACCATGGAACACTGATATATTGCAAAAGGCGGTGAGACCTAAACCTGAAGACAAAATAACAGGAGGTAACTGAGGGTTGGCTTCCTGTTTAGTGAAATAAATTGTCCGAAGAAACAAATGAAACATCGTAAGATAGAGCATGCCTTATGAACGCTTACACCAACCACTGCCTGTGGTGGTTGCTAAGGAACTGAAGACTTAGGTAGCAAATCCCAGGGAAGCTAAAGATGATTAAAATGTTCTGGAGGACTTATAAGAAAAGACAAAAGAAACTGGTGTTGTCCCATCCAAAAAAAAAAAAAAACTAGAGGATGATTCAGAGTAAATTTCAATTTACAATAGCTGTTAAGCAGTCAGGGACAAACTGTTCTCCAGTGGAACCAACAGGAAGGGATGACACAAGTTTCAATACAAGAAACCAGACTCAAAACAGACTTCATCATAATGAGGGTCTGTGAAGCTTTAGCCTGGGTGACTAGAGTATGACAAGTGTGACCACTTGAAGCCAGCTCCAGGACACTGTTGGGGGAAGAGGAATGTATTCCCTGACAGACGGCTCGTGAGGAGATCAGGAGGGTGTCTCCTGGCACATCACAGAGCAAGAGACTTTCTGAGATGCCTCCTAACTCCACTGGTCCTTCCAAGACAAGGCTCTGAGCGAGGTGCCCTACCCCAGCGGGTCCTCAGTTCTCTCCACCCCCTCCTTCTGCCCATTCAAGCACGTGTTTTCAGCCTCCTTCTCTTCCCACACAGACATTATCATGGGAGGTAGACATAAAAACACTTGTGATAAGATTTTATGATCCACTGTAACTTGGGTACACCAAAGGCATGGTAACTATGCTGGCCAGTTTTATGTTAACTTGACACAAGCTAGAGTCATCTGAGAGGGGGGATCTTTAGTTGAGAAAATGTCTTTATAAGATCCTGCTATAGGCAGGCCTGTAGGGAATTTTCTTGATTAGTGATTGATGGGAGAAGGCCCAGCCTGTTGTGGATAGTACCGCTGGGCTGGTGATCTATAAGAAAGCAGGCTAGGCAAGCAATGAGGAGCAAGCTAGTAAGCAGCATTCCTCCATGGCCTCTGCATCAGTTCCTACCTCTGGCTTCCTGGCTTGTTTGAGTTCATGTCCTTCCTTCAGTGATCAACAGTGTTGTGAAAGTGTAAGCCAAATAAACCCTTTCCTTCCCAAGTTGCTTTGGTCATGGTGTTTTATCACAGTAATGATAACCCCAACTAAAGCAATAACAACATGTATTTCTATAAATGATACAAATTCCCATGCAACCTCCCATTCCCACCTTTGGAGGTAGTGGGATGGAATGGGCTAAGAGAAGAATAAACCCCCCAGTTAGGAGTCAATCAGTGCCAGGCATGGTGGCACACACACGTAAGCCCAGCCCTCAGGAGACTGAGGCAAGAAGATCATATATTCTAGGCTAGTCTAGACTGTATAACAAGGCCCTGTCTTTAAAAAATGTTAATTTATTTTATTTAAATACCCTCTTCCAGACATAAACACAGTCAAATCACAGTTTGAACTCCCTCTAAGGCTCTTCTCCTTTTCTTCAAAGATAAGGGCTGTTAGATATGAAAGGGGTTACATGTCTCAGATGATGTGACTAAGGGGGACGATTGGTCCTAGTGATATTAGAGATGTCCCCTATGTACTTGGTAGCACCCTGGAGGTGACATTGTGGGAAGTTCCTTTTTGAAAAAGCTGGGGGTCTCGGGGGCCTTTGCTTTGCTTTAGCCCAGGCTGACCCTGATAGTCTTTGTCATCGGTCTCCTCTTCAGCTTCCAAAAGTACCTGGAAGGTTGCAAATGGGGAAGGGGGGCTTGTCCCGCCTGTGCCTCCCGAACCGTAGGAACACTCGGGTTTCAGTCCTTGCCTTGATATACATAAGAAGTTCCAGGAAGCTGGAGAAGTGTCACAGTGGTTGAGGGTACTTGCTGCTCTTGCAGAGTCAGGTTCAGTTCCCAGAACCCACATCGGAGTGTACAACCGTAAATTATGTCTGTTCTAGGCCTCTGGGGGCACCAGGAATACACATACATGGTCCACTTACACACAACAGGCAAAGATAGCCATACACATAAATAAATTCATTAAGTATAAATAAATCTTTACAAAGTAATTATGAACCAAAGGATCTCAAGGCTCTGTTTTGACCCTCTCTCTGCTTATGTGCCGCCTTCAACCAGCTCTAGCTTCCCCCTCCCCCTAGAGTGTTGCATTTTGGGTAATGCTGGTACTTCGAAAGGCTTTAACTTTTCCTAAACTGTATCATGGAATACTAGAAACAAACCTCCTTGCTCTCTGGGCAGGTAAGCCAACTGTTCCACAACAGCCTTTCTCTCTGGTCCATCTCTCCTCAGCTTTCATCTTCTGTTCTCCAGAAGGATAAAATAGAATGGAAAATGAAGGGAAAATGATTTTGTTCTAACTGAATTATAGGCCTTCAATGGAATTGCAAGCAGACCCATTCCAGGAGGGATGAATCCTCCACACTGCTTCCTCCAGATTCCTTTTATGGAGCATGTGTCAACCTTCAATTACTATTTTCAGCAATAGCCTTGTGTCAAATACAAGGTGACAGAAAATGTCTCTCCTGCCATCTTGCAATTTGTGTGTGTGTGTATGTGTTCCTATATGTGAGGATACTCATGTGCAAGTATACGTTTGCACATACATGTAGTTGCTCAAGATTGATGTCTTTACGTCTCTCACTGAATCACCATTTTGGCCAGCTTGTCTCTGCCTCCTGTGTGCTGGGATCTCACCTAGCTTTTCACATGGATTCTGGGGATCCAAACTCCAGTCCTCATGCTTGTGCGGCAAGAGCCTTATCCACTGGGCCCTTCCCTGGGACCCTTCATACAATTATAAGTTTGTCTCCTTCTTCTAAGTGTTTGAAAGCAGACAGATGCAATCCCAGCACTTGGAAGGCCAAGGCAGAAGGACTCACACAAACTTGAATACAGCTTGGTGTGCATAATGGGTGTCAGGGCAGCCGGGGCTGCACTACGATCCTGCCTCCGATGGACTGGCATTTCCCTTGATGGATGAAATGAGTTGACCAGTCATCACTGACAGGTGGCACCACATGACCTCCTAGGTTAATTCCAAAGAGCCGTTGACTCTGTAAGAACAAGAAACACGAAGTTGCATTTGCTGATCTACTAATTAACATTCTTATATTTTAACAAATCAAATCGATGTCTCCCAAATGTTGCTCTCTTGTTGACCAAATGTGTGATTTTCCTACAAATTAGTAACGACCGAATCTCTCCCCTCCTTTTGGCTTCATCTTCTGCTCCTTTCTTTATCATTCTGCTCAGCATCTCTGCCTGCAAGACAGTCCCAGGCAATGACCGAATCTACTACACAGGTGATTCATCACATTAGCTGTGTTTAATCTGACCAAGATTTGAATTCTACCACTTTCCCAATATGCAAAGCTCTAATGGTATCCTAAAATGTTTGCCCTGGAAGGTTTTTGGTAATAGGTGTTTAATAGACTTTGTCTTTATTTAAAAAAAAAAAAAAGTTTTTAAGAGAGAAGACTTGTATGAACCACTGCAGAAGCATCCATTTAATAGTAAAATGCTGCCTCCTTCTGGGTAAATTGAATTATACATGAGAAACCTGTCAAACTGCCACCAAGATAGTGTTAGGGGAAGGGAGGAGATGAGACATTTTTAAAAGAATTTTTTAATAAAAGAAAATAGAGGCAGAAGAGTTAACTTGAAAAATTACCCAAGTCTGTCTTTGAAGTAATGAATCACCTAAATCATGTATCCTATGCATGAGGTTTTGTTACCAAAGAAATGGGGGCTTTTCATCTCACTGATGAAAGAATTTAAGAACAGTCCAAAAGAAGCTTGAAGACAGCCTTATTAGAGTTTAAAAGAAAACCCCAGGGCAGATAAGCTGTAAATCCTGGCAACTGCCTGGTGGAGGAAGATGGAGCAGAGAAAGAGAAAGTGCATGCTGTTTGAGTTAAGCCTGCATGTGGGTCTGCCATATGCTAGATGACCAGCAGCCACACGGTGCGGGGGGAGCTTTAGAGAAAGAGTAAATCTCAGGGGCTGGAGAGACAGCTCTGTGGTTAAGAGCACTGCCTGCCCTTCCAGAGGACCAAGGTTCAATTCCCAGTACCCACATGGCAGTTCACAACCTGTAACTGCAGTTCTAGAGGATCCAACACCTTCCTCAAGCCTCCCTGGGCACTAGGAAAAGTGGTGTACAGACATGCATGCAGGCAAAACACCCATATGTTGTATGATACTTTGTTTGTGTTCTAACAAATAAAGCTTCCCTGGAGATCAGAGGGCAGAGCTAGCCACTAATTAACCATAGAGGCCAGGCAGTGATGGCACACACCTTTAATCCCAGCACTTGGGAGGAGGAGGCAGAAAGATCAGGAGTTCAAGGCCACCCTGGGCTACATGACATTGAACCAGTCTAAAAGAGAAACAGAGCGGGACAGTGATAGCTCATGCCTTTAATCCCAGCACTGGAAGGTGGAGACAGGAATATAAGGCAGATGGAGACAGGATCTTGGTGCCCATTCAGTCTGAGGCTTTGTAGAGACAGGATTCTCTTTCAGTCTGAGATTTCATAGTGGTAAGAAGTTTCTAGTGAGTGGCTGGCTGCTCTGCCTCTCTGATCTTTCAACTTTCATCCTGTTTTTATTGTTAAGACTAATTAGGATTGTGCTTCACCCATACACATAAATTAGAATTTATTTTTCAAATGAACTCCAGAGTATAGGGAAATGATGCTTAGACAAAGAAAAGAAAGAAGAAAAGGAAAAGTTCCACTTTTCTAAGTAACTTACTCTTTGAGTAAAACAGGCTGAAAAGGCAGCTCTGTAAGCTACTGCATGAGCATAGGGATTCCAGGAAAGAATTAAAGGATTAATAATTCTCCCAATCTCTTTAAGATGACTTAAGGTGACCCCACCTTCCTAAGGCATGGTCCCAGGGCCAAGTGACTGGTCAGGCTGTTGGGATTCTGCTGCCACGCCAGCTGCATGATCACACATGTGTAGTTCAGGAGCTAAGCAAGGAGTCCTGTGTTTTACATCATCAGTGCACATTGCATGATTACGTGCGTGGTCACACAATCTGTGCATGCGTGGCATAGCTCCATAAGCCCACCTGCGCCTTAAAAAGCCAGACACAGACTCCTCCCTTCCCTTCTCTTTTCTCTCTTCCCCCCACTTTCTCTTCTCTGTTCTTTCTCTCTGCTCTCTGCACGTGCTTCTCCCCAGGCCTGTTCTTTTGTCCCACCCCACCCCCAATAAAGCTCTGATACTGGGTTTTTGTTGCTAGAGTTTTCCTGCCTGGCCCACAGTCAGGACAAATCTCTCTCACCTGCCAGTCCCACAGCCACTCAGACCCGACCAAGTAAACACAGAGACTTATATTGCTTACAAACTGTATGGCCGTGGCAGGCTTCTTGCTAACTGTTCTTACAGCTTAAATTAATCCATTTCTATAAATCTATACCTTGCCACGTGGCTCGTGGCTTACCGGCATCTTCACATGCTGTTTATCATCGTGGCGGCTGGCAGTGTCTCTCTGACTCAGCCTTCCACTTCCCAGCTTTATTCTCCTCCTTGTCCCGCCTATACTTCCTGCCTGGCCACTGGCCAATCAGATTTATTTATTGACCAATCAGCAACACACTTGACATACAGACCATCCCACAGCAGGTTTTGTCATGCCTTGTGACCTCATGACATGGTAACCAGCGCCGCTTATCATTTTTAGCACAGGCCATCTGGATTAGGTCTTAAGGGAGGAGACAGTGGTGTGCCTCCACCCAGAGATAGATTCTCTGGCTAGGAGGCAACAGCTTTCTCTTAGTGGGCCTTCAAGGCTTCCGTTACATCCCCTTTCTGATAAGGTAACACTAAAATTACTTAGGAGATGGGCTGATATTAGGAAATAGATTCTTTTTTTCACAACAATCTAGAGACTTGGTGAGGAGGAATGTGTTTCTGGACTGCAGTTTTAGTTCCCACCCTCACAATGAGGAGGTAAGAAACCAGAGCTCCTCTTTAGTCCTCCTGGCTAGAGCCCCCAGGATGTTTCTGGAACTGCTGCTCTGCAGTCTCTGCTCTGAGCTGCCTTGTCCGGTTTCTAGCCCCCCTTTCATGAATAACTCACTTAAGGATGCCTGTTCTAGTCTTGCCAGGCAAGGAATCATAACTTCCCTTTTGGGGAAAACATCAGAATTGGGCTGGTTAGCACCAGTGAGGACTGGTGTGTGAAACTGCCATATCACCAATTAGGTTACAATCCTATCCTGGGTGTGAAGAGATCCAGACATACTCCCTGTTTTCAGGAGAGAGGGTAAAGGTCAGAGTGATGTAGGGGCCATGTCAGGTAAGGTCAAAGGTCTGAGAAAAATATTAAAATTTTTTGTGATAGGCATTGAGGTCAGGGACAAAGGAACCCAACGATATTTTTGTTTTTTGGTTTTTTGTTTGTTTGTTTGTTTTTGAGATAGATCTGCAAGAGAAGGGAGACATGGGTATACACGGTGCTCTTGGGAACCCATTACCTTTGGGAAGTGGAAGGATGGAGTAGGGTTGGGTGGGAGAAATAGCAGACCAAGAATGAGTATGGAGTGAGGAAGGTCGAGACAAGTAGAGGTTTGGTGGTGAAAGGTGGCGTGGGAAGAGGCTTGGTAAGCAAAAGATGTCAGGGCGGGGGGGTGGCAGGTTGGGGGGAAGAGTAAGAGGCTTAGTAGCAAAAGTAGGAGTGGGTAGAGGCTTAGTGGAGAAGCAAGAGGTGGCTCAAAGGTTAGGGCTAGGTCTGGGGAGGACAGTGTCCTCAGTCGGGTCTGGCTGGATAAGGAGGAGAATCAGTAGGGAAAGGCAGAGAAGAAATTTAGTGTTTGCAACAACAGATTTAATCCAAGAAAAAACTGCAGAAGGGGGTTCTCTAGACCTTGAAACCAGGGAACTCACTGTCCATTTACAGACACTAGAAACTGAGTAGGGGGTATCAAATAAAAGAATGTCAGGCAACTGATAAACAGTTCTTGTGGCCAGCAGAAACTTGGGGTCGGTAGGATGGGGTAGCAGGAATCTAGGAAAACAGGTGGCTTTAGTTCTGAGGATGCTAGTCACTGTGTTTCAGGAAATTATCAACATTTAACCAGATGGAGCTTTACAAAACGACCTGTCCCTGGTTAATGAGTTGGGGGTAGAAGGTGTCCATGTCACAGCATGTGGGTAGAGGACAACTTCAGGGACTCAGTTCTCTCCTTCCCTGTGGGTTCCAGGAATCAAACTCGAGTTTTCAGGAGCCCTTACTCACGGAGCCATCTTCCTGGCTCCACTACTATGCCACAGTCTATAACAATAAATTCACAAGCGACGGTCACATTCACTCGCAGCAGCTTACCAGATACTCCCACTTCCTGTGATAACCCTGGGAAGACAGACACTTGTCCTTTTACTCCAATCTTAATGACTAATATTAACCCTCAAACCACATGCTACGCACCGTACAGTAAATATGTCTATGGTGAGGAGGCTTCCAGAATGACTATAAAGGGTTAAGAGGCAGAGTTTCAAGGAGTCCTGTCTGAGAAAGCAAATCTGAAGAACTGATGTGAACTCAGAAGTCTCTTCGTTGACAAGACAGCAAGCCAGGCTGGAGAAGCTGCTGCTCTGAGTCGGGCTGCTGTGGTCACAGGTTTGGGAGGGAAACTGCAGAACCGTGGGGCCAAAGGAGCAGGTCTGGACCCAGGTTACGGAATGGGTAGAGAGATGGCCAAGCAAGGGAACGGGTGAATGACAGTTGAGTAGGCTGTGCCAAGAGTAGAGAGACTGAAGGCCAGGCACGGAGGCGCACGCCTTTAATCCTAGCACTTGGGAGGCAGAGGCAGGTGGATCTCTGTGAGTTGGAGGATAGCCTCGTCGACACAGTGAGCTCTAAGACACCCAGGACTACATAGAGACCCTGTCTAAAAAGAAAAGAGTAGAGACTGAGTGACACTGAAGGCCCTGGCACGGTCGGGAGTATCCTTTGCCTGTCCGCCCTTGCTGCTACAGCAGACATTTGGTGGTCGGATGACAGGGTGGTGGAGGCTGTTGTCATCACAGTGTGACGTGTTTGA